CTAAATAAATGATAGATGAATAAAATATTTGTAAAGTTCCTAAATCAGTGCTTGCTACATAATAAGGTTTCAGTAAATGTAGACTGCTAGTAGTAATAAAATTAACTGAAAATATTCCTTATTCACTTATGAATCTTACCTCTGGAAATGCTTTTTATCAATTTTATTGATAAAATTTTGTGCATTTCCACTCTTATCAAGCTGAGCAAAGCAAGGCAGATTTATAAATGGTATCTGATCTCATTGCTAATTCTTTTTGGTCAGTTAGCCCCTGGAAACCTTCACTGTTAATTCTAGAATGAAACTTAATGGACACACATTCTAAAGCCCATCTTCAATGAATTTATGTATAAAGAGGCCCAGAGAAGTAAGAGATCTGCCTGAAGTCACACTGTGAAACAGAGCCTTCAGTCACCAGTTTGAAAAATTATGGACTCCTTTGGAAGCTGGGTTGTGTTCTAGAAACATCCCTTTTGTCATCATTCATTCTTTAAAAATCTTGGGCACATTTGCTTATGGGATTATTGCCCAATTATGAGAAGGGAAGAGACATTTATCTTTTCCAGTGGCAAAAAGCCATCACCACCTTTGCTGAAGTAGCAAGATGTTTACTTTCAAAATTAGTTTGAGAATTAAATTCCTAAATATTGTCTGTGCATTTGAGATTTTATGCATGGGTGTAGAAACAAAAGATCTTTAGCTTACCTGTTGGGTCAGCTTCCCCTCACCCAGGCTCATCTTCCTAACATATAACGTGGTTCCCCAGGCCTGCCTTTCAAGGACAAGCTACAGTTTTTGATCTTTAACTGGAGTTATTTGGGGGAAACGTTCACTGGATTCTCAATTAAATAGCGTTATTGATAAACTTGCTTTCTGGTCACCCAGCCTCCTGCCTGATAGAATGGCCAGCATACTTTTTGGCTTTTATGCAGCAAGAAGCATGAAGCACTGGAAACAGCAAAATAGTGAACTCCATGAATCACAGTTTTCTTATCTGTATGAGGCAACACCTGATTTCATCAAAATATATTGTACCTGGGCCTTCTTGGTGGCCTAGGGGTTAAGTCTCAGCACTATCACTGTTAAGGCCTGAGTTCCATCCCCAGCCAAAGAGCTAACCCATATATGGTGCAGCAGACCTCTCCTGTCTTGCCCACTGCTCCCTTTAGCAATGTATTTCAGTAAATCCACCTGCTGTGCTTCCGTGTGTCTCTAGTGAATCCTCTCACCCCCGCACCTTTGGTATGCACCCCATTTATTCTATGCAATTATAGTCTTTAAAAATATATAGTATCAAATAATGTATGTGAAAAATTATGACACTTAATTCCACTTAAAAAGTGGAATTCCTGCTGATTCTCCCATGATAATACAAGAGTCTAAAACCAGAATGAGCTAATAGTTAGGTACTCTTAAAGGTGAGGCCGACAGTATTGCTAGATATTTTTGTTGTTGTTACTCTCATTTTGATAGATACCAGCTTGTTTTACTTATTGTAGTGATATAAAAGAAAAAATAATTGTTTGGTAGAAAATAATGAAAAGCCAATTATTAATAAAATTAAGTAAAAAATAGAAATATCTTTTTTTAAGATTTATTTATTTATGCATATAAGAGATGGGGTACAGGCCAGAGATGTGGGGATGAGAGGATCCACCAGAGACAGAGTGGGACACAGAACAGGCAGACTGACTGAAATATACTGCTGAGGGGAGCATTGGGCAAGTCAGGAGAGGTCTGCTGCACCATGTGGGTTGCTCCCTGGCAGGCTGGGGACCAAACTCGTGCTACAGAGGTTGCAGATTGCTTCAGAGTGCAGTGCTTACCCCTTGCACCACCAGGGAGGCCCAAAAAATAGAAATATCTTTTTTAAAAAGAAAATTTATGATTGTAAAGCAAGTCTCATACTAGGCTTTGAGATTTGATTTTGAAGATTCTTTAAATCTTTCAATTATGCCTTCTGGACATAGATTCTGAATTATACTGAATTACTTTAACTATGTGGTTAAAACAATTAATGTCTTAAGTTTTTAATAGCCAAAGAAAGCAAGAAAGAGTAGATTTAAGCAGTATTCGACATGATTTATTATTTTAGAATGTGTGTGTGTGTGTGTGTGTATATATATATAAACTGAATAATTGTACAATTTATTAGGTTCCAGGTTAATGTTAAACACTGGCAAGAGGGGGCAGTTACCATTTATTTAGTACAATGCATGCTATCAAAATTCTTTTTTTTTTAATTGTTTATTGTTTATTTTTTTTTTATAATAAATTTTATTTTTATATTCCCCATACAATTGCAGCCCCCCCATTCTGACCCCAATCCCTCCCCTAAAAGTGTCTCTGGTTCGTAGTTTTTTGTTGATTTTGATTTTCACTTTCTTATAGTTATTCGTTTTCCTGTTCCCTTATTTAAGTTTTCTAGATTCCTGCTATGAGTGAGACCATCCGGTATTTTTCTTTTTCTTTTTGGCTTATTTCGCTGAGCATGATCCCTTCCAGTGCCATCCATGTTGCTGCAAATTGCATGTGTTTATCTTTTTTGAATGCTGAGTAATATTCCATGGTATAAAAATTCTAAGAGAGGATTGGCAATGTCAGGAACCGCACAGTTTGGGGTCAAACCCCCTGCTTTACAGACCCAGAAACCAGAGTGGGGTCACACTTTCATAGCACAACTTAACATTAACACGATTACAGAGCAGCAGAAACCAGGATGTCAATTGATTCATATTTAGATTGAAAAATGCAGTTTTTATGAGGACCAGCATCTTTGCATCAGAAATTCAATGCATTCCTTTTCAATAGACATCTACATTTACTGAACTCTTTTGTATGCCTGGCATGTATTAACTCAATCATCTTCAAAGGTATTGTGTTCCTGGAACTTCCAAGAAGTATGATAGGCAATCCACTTCTAAACCCTCAACTTCCATATATATTTTCCTAAAATTTGATCAGCCTGATGGCCCTGCAGTCATATATTTTCTTACCCTCCTTCCATTATCTAAAAGAAAGCTCTTATCTTAATGACCCGGTGGCTTATTAAACACCTTGGTGGTCATTGAAGAGATTATTTTCCATTTGCTGATAAATATACCACCTTTCAGATTTGTAATATCCTCATATCCTGAACCTTTGGAGCTCAGATACCTCACCTGTAAAATATTCATAAAGTTTCATTATGAAATTTAAAGAAGGTAATATGTAAAGCAACTATTAATGCCTGGCCAAGTATTTATATCGACATGCAGCAGTTGCCATGTTCTTCTGTTGTTCCTCTATGTTAATGTCTTTTAATCTATATTTCAAAATACATAAATTATTTTTCTGCCTCTGGTACTATGGATGCTAAGGAAATAGTTAAATAGCTAATTAGCCTTTTTCACTAAGCTTCAATTTTAGGATTTATTTCAGAAATTAAAAAAAATAAATATAAATTCACAACACTAATCAGCATGGTTAACTACTGAATATCTTCCTTAGACACTATTAAACTAGAGTAGTTGGAGCAGAATAGTGTGATTGAAATTTGTTCACTTGAGGACTAATCTTTGGTGCAGTTTGGATCATGCATTTGACAGGAATTCTAAATAGAGCAGACTGCTCAAAATTACATTTTGAGTTTTACCTTGAGGTCGCTCAGAAGTTTATTTAAATGTTAGCTTGGCAGAGTTATGAAAAAGATAAGATATCTCCTGAAAGCAGTAATTGCTTTGGGCTGCCCTGCAGGGTAACCAGATAGTAGATTGTGTATGGATTTGCAGAAAGAAGGCCAGAGAGCTTGAGTAGAAATGACATTTATAGGGAAATGGAGCTATCCCCAAATGTGAAGTTTGGGTCTACTCTCTTTTTTGTCAACCTTCAGTCCCAGTTAATAGTCTGGTTTTGTTTTTTTTTTAATATTTATGTATTATTTATAACTGTTTTATTATTTTAGTAGTTACTTTGGTTCATTATATATATCAAATAGTCTACCTGTAATATACAGTTTCACCTGTCATTTAGAAACTACAATTATAATTTTCACTCCCTTTCTCCTGGCCTCTATGATCATTTTTGCTTTATATTTTACTTACACGTATACGCCCTACAAGATCTTGTTGGTGTTATTAAGTAGTCAATTATATCTAAAATAATTTAAGTAATAGGAAAAAAATAAATACCTATGTAGTTACCATGTCCAGTTCATTCTTTGACCACCTTAAAAATGTTGCACTGTGATCTTGCTTACATTATTTCAGGTGAAAAATAGTCACTTATCTTTCTTTCTCTGTATGTAAAATGCAAACTATTATAATTATTTTGAGGATTAAGTTTATACAGATGACTGACACAGAACTATTATGAGGATCGGCTCTAAGCAAAATCATGATGTAGATCCCATTATTGTTTTTGTGTCTGAATCACCTTCACCTCCGTCTGGCCCATTTTCATTTCCTATGACACATTAATGGCCCAGTCTCACCGCCTAGTCAAAACAGACTACCATAATATAATAATTACTAGTTGTTTTAGCTGACTTTGTGCCAGATATTTTGCATAGAGGTTTATACAGATTATGTAAATTTAATTTTCGCAATTGCTTTGGTGGTATATACTATCATTAACCTAATTTATAACTGACGAAACATAATAGAGATTAATCAACTTGTGAAAAATCACACCTGATGTAGTAGGATTCAGATGTGATTAAGACATTTGTATCACCACTCCTCAATCAAGATACCTAATTCCTTCCTCCTCAAATCCATCTCTCCTGTGCTTACCTGTTTTCTCTCCTGACAATGGGATAATAATGGGTTGTCTCATACTATTTAGCAGTAGTAACACTCTTTAATAAGTAAAATAGATAGGAAATGGCAATGATTCTGGGAAACTGATGGGAGAGAGTAGGGTAGATTGCTCTAGGAATAAATATGTGAGGATTTGTTTATCCTTTTAACACCAAAAATGAACCGTTGTTAATCTGCTCATGGTGTGTTTCCATTATTCAGTGCCTTGCTACCTGGGAATCCTTTCTTTCATCACAGTCCAGCCTTCACTTGGAAGAAGCTTCTGAAGATAAACCTTAATTCCGTTGAAGACTTCCCGTGTGATCATTGGGAAATAGCATCTGTTAACCAAAATTATTTTTTTCTGAATGGGCTGTGTCCTTTATTAAGTAGATGAAAAATGTTTCACACTATCTGGAAAACCAACAACTTGAAACTCAGGTATTCCAGATTATTGATAAGATTATATACATAATGTATAATATATATATAGTTTAGATTTTTGTTCTCAAATTTTTGTGCCAATAATTGCATATAGAAAATCTTTTAAAAGTATTTGTTTGTGAAACACGTCATTTTAAATATATTGTAAAGATTCAGTTTTAATAAAAAGTTTAATATGAAATGGCTAGCTGTGTTCTTTTTTGACTAAAGTCGCTCAGGCCTCTGAAACAGATTCTAACATGAATTCATACTGCTGTCCACAATGACTGCACCATTTACATTCCCACCAACAGTGTGTATGTGTTCCCTTCTCTCCATATCCCCCCCCCTTTTTTTTTTAATAGGATATTAGGCTTTCTCAAAGGTTTGAGTTGATAGCTGATAGTTCACTATGGTTTTAATTTCAATTTCCCTGAAAATAAGAGTTGATGAACATCTTTTCATGTGCCTGCCTGTTTGACCTCTGTATGGACATTCCTCAAAAAAACTAAAAATTCCTTATGAATCAGTTATCCCATTACTCTGGGTATTTGCCCCCCAAATCAAAAACACTAATTTGAAGATATATGTGCACCTTTATGTTTATTGCAGCATTATTTACAATAGCCAAGAATTGGAAACAACCTAGGTGCTGATTGACAGACAATTAGATAAAGAAGATATGGTTTTGATACAAAATGGAATACTATTCAGCTATGAAAAAGATGAAATTCTGCCATTTGCAACAGCATGGATGGACCTAAAAGGTATTATGTTTAGTGAAATAAGTCAGAATAAGACAACATTTTGATTTCACTCTTATGTGGTATATAGAGAAGCAAATGAATGACACAAAACAAAAATAAACTTTGAGACTATAAGAGTAGTTGTTGCCAAAAGTGTGGGAGGAAAGATGATTGGCAAAAGGGGTCAGTTGTATGCTGAAAGATAGAATTGGACTTTTAGTGTGAACTTAATGTGTATATATACATGTTGAATTTAAAAAGTATATATTCAAGTTCCTAATATCAAAGTAATAGTATTGCAGAGAAACTCACGATGCAATAAAAATGAATATATAGTATACTTGTTAACATATGCTGAAGTTATACTTTTTAAATACAATAACATTGCATTGTAATATTACATGTTTCAATTATATATATTAGTATATAATATATAAATATGTACATACATAAATATATAAATATATATAATATAAATATATAAAATTATATATATAATTTAATTGGTTCACAGTTAAATTGCAACAAAGGAGCCAGGAGCATACAACAGCAAAAAGGAAGCAACTGATGTTGGGAAAATCAAATTTCTAATTTATTTAAACTTGGTAGAGGTTTTTTTGGTCCACATCAAATGAGAAAAGTAAGGATAATGTATTTTAGTGCTCATACAGCCAAACATTTCTATAAATTGTTTTCACTTTATGTCCTTTGAAATTTCCATTTGAAGTCATGAACATGCCTCTTTTTTTAAGAGGTAGTGATCATTGCAATGACCTTACTGATAAAATAAAAATTAAATCATCTGTGATCATTAATTTTATGTATCAATGTGACTGGGTCATGGAGTTCCCAGATACTTGGTTAAGGACTGTTCTGGGTATTTCCATAAGAATGTTTTTGGAAGACATTTTATTTTATTTTATTTTTTTAAATGTGAAACTTTTATTTTTTTAAGATTTATTTTAAACCCATAGATGGAGTAAAACAGGTTGTCCTCCTTAATGTGGGTGAGACTCATCCAATCACTTGAAGACCTGGACAGAACAAAAAGGCTGAGTAAGAAAACTCTTGCTTCCTGACTGCCTTTGAACTGGAATACTGGCTTTTTTCCTGCCTTTGGACTCAAACTGAAGCATTGGCTCTTTGTAGGTCTCTGGCTTGCCAACTACAGAATTTATGGGTTTTGTCAGCTTATGAATCAATTCCTTATAATAAACAACACACGCACACCCCTCTGTTGGTTCTGTTTCTTTGCAGACCCCTGACTAATGCATCATCATTTTGTTCTCCCACATTTCTTTTGAGGTTGCATTGATTGGTGAGACCCCAAATTTCAGAATCTATCCTTCATCCTTCTTGATCAATTTATTGTTTGTGCTTAAAGACCTCAGAATTTAAACTTTTGAATCTCAGGTTTCTCTGCTTGCTGATCGTGTAATGTCACTTTTCAGGACATAAGTGCTTCTAAAGTTTAAATGAATTTGGGAAGCATTTAAGGAAACACTTTGATTGTTATTTCAGTATGTTGTTCCACATACAATTAAATTATTTTTAAAAAGTCATCTTTTCCAGGTACTCTAAACCTATCAGATGCATAAACAGAATACTATTTTAAGAGATTTTTAGTATATCAATTATTAAGTCCCTTTCATGTGCCTACAAGGCTTGATTGTGATTTCCTTGCATTTTCTTTTTTATTTTTTAAGAAAGTATTTTTTTTAAAGATTTATTTATTTATACGAGCACTGGGTACAGTCAGAAGCATGGGAGGGTGAGAGTATTCACCAGAGCCAGAGTGGGGAACAGAACAGGCAGATTGACGAAATACACTGCTGAGGGGAGCAGCGGGTGGCAGGAGAGGTCTGTGCGCCATGTGGGACCCTCGTCTGTGGCTGGGGATTGAACCGGCGCTGTAGAGGCTGCAGGCAGCTTCGCAGCCCAGCATTCAACTGCTGCGCCACCAGGGGAGGCCCTACTTGCATTTTCTTAAGTAAACTACTAGTCCAGAAACATAGGTATTATTTTCTCTATAGTATGTTCATGAGAAAATTGGATATTAGGAAAATGAATTTACTCCTTATGATCAATGAGAAAATAATGGGGCAAGGATCACTTGGGTCTCCTTCCAATATTAATGTGTCCTCTACCATTGCTTCTCCAACATTAATATGTTTTTTAACTAAGAATTTTGTTAACATGCAGACTCTGATTCACTAAGTTTGAATGGAGCCTGGAGTCCAGCATTTCTAACAAGTTCCCAGGGGATGTTGATTCTTCCAGCCCAAAGGCTGCATTTTGAATAACAAGGTTATATCACTACTGGGAATGCACAGCCTATAAGAATATATCAAATGATGTAAATATATCAAAATCCTCTGTTAATTTGAGCTAAGACACTTAGACTTATGTTCTGACTCTGACTTATAGTTCTGTAACCTTAGGAAAATTACTTAATTTCCTTTACCTGTTCTATTAAAAAAAAACTAATGATAGTACCTAATTACTATAGTGCTACATATAATAATAAATGTAAAGGTTTGTACATATAAAGTGCACAGGTTAAGCCTAAAAATAGAGTATTTTAGAAGGATGTAATTGTTTTTCACATAGAAACGTCACATCATAGGCTACTTTCTAGATAGAAAAATCAGTTCGATCGCTACATAAACTGAATAGAAATATGCAACTATTAGGCACTGAGAAATTCATTGGTCATATACTAATCAAGAAACTTTCCTAATTTCTAGTTTTTGAAAAAGCAGATGTTGGTTTACAAAAACATGAATCATGAGCATTCTAACTTCAGAGTTTAGCTGAAAATATTCTGGAGAGTTTTCTGGAAACATCTTTTTGGCAACCCGATTCTGACATCTAGCTTAGAAATGTAGAAATAATGTTCCTGTGTGTCTAATAATTGCTTTGGATAAACTCAGAGTCATTAGAGGTAGAGTTAAATTCTGAGCATACTGTAAAAAAAAGGAAAAAGCATTTTAGCATTTGAAATTCCAAGCTTGTTAAGAATTCTAAGCCCCAATTTCCCATCTGTGGAAAGGGGGAATTAATCTGCCAACTCTACATTGCTGGGAAGTATAAGAATAAATTATACACAACTGACTTTGACTACTTACTTTGACTTTTAAAAAAAAGCGTTAAATTCTGCATCAGCTTCCCCTTGTTACCCCTTAAATACTAGAGACTTCCAGTCTGTTCATGAATTTAGGATATTCTGAGATAAGGCAAACTAAGCCATAGTTACTAAGATATGGTAAGAAAGGCTCAGAATGTGATGCATATATGTGAATAGAAATAGATACAGGTAAATATTTAAGGTCATATTTATATATATGGGGGATGTGTACATGTGGTATGTGAATGTGTGTAGTAACCAGTGAAAAGACATGAATTAAAAATCAGTGGAGCAGGGCCTCCCTGGTGGCATAAGGGGTTAAGTCTCAGAACTATCAAGCCATCACCAGCCACTGCAGCCTGAGTTTGATCCCTGGCCGGGTAACTAACCCATGTGGTGCAGCAGATCTCTCCTGTCTAGCCACCTTACCCACAGCAGTATATTTCAGTAGATCTGCCTGTTCTGCTCCCCACTCTGTCTCTGGTGAATCCTTACACTACCCTCCCCCCACATCTCTGGTCTATACCCCAATTCCTATATGCATAAATAAATAAAATAAATCTTAAAAAAAAAATCAGTGGAGCAGAAAGCCAACCGCATGCATACGATTGTTACATTTGACCCTCCTTTTCATGTATTAAAATTCCCCCAAGAAAACGTATTTATGCTTAAGTTCATAAGATTATGAACTATGAGCAATGAGATACTTTCAAACGGGACAGTTAGTTGTGTGTTTGCCCCTACCTTAACTTCTGTAATTCTTTAAAGCTATACTTACATATGTTGAGAAAGAAAAAAATTGAACTTCTACTCTTGTTTATATTTTTTAATGTAAGTCATAAAGATTGAAGAGACTTATTTTTTTTAATGTTAAAATATGACATGGCAATCTTTAAGATCAGAAGAATAATGCTCTCTCATTTTAAAGGAAGTCATCCCAGAACATGCAATTTAAATAGCTAATCATAATCTGGTTACATGAGGCATTTGATAATTATACATAAAAGCTTTTCTTTTCCTACTTGAAGTTTTATGATACGATATCTGATTTTAAAATTACATGACTATTGTTTTTATGTGGTTTATTTGCACAATCTGAGATTCTAAAATCTTTGAAATGTGTTCACATGCATTTTGTATTCATCCTTCATGAATTCCCTGTGCAGTAATTCAATAATTCCACAAATACTCCACTGCTAATAGGTGCCAGACACCTTCATCTATTGTTAGTAAACAATAAAATTAAATAAAATAAGCATAACCTGCAAGTCAGTCAGTCCAGTGAGGAAACCACCATATGTAAATAATAAATGT